TCGGCGCTTCTTGAAGCTCTGCGAGGAGTGGCCCGTGGAGGAGACCAAGCGTGGCCGTGATTTGGGAGTCGCGGTGCGGCAGAAAGTGATGCAGGCTTTCCGTGAGGGAGAGAATACCCAGGTGGGACCCGGCATCGGGGGGGCTTGCGCTGTAAGGAACCGAGTTAGGCGATTGGCGGCGCCAAGGTCGTTTACTTTGCGGCTATCAAGCCTCTTCGTCCCGGGCCAGAGCGAGGAAGGGGCTGTGCTGTGGCGCTGTTAAATGGCCGTGGGCGGAACCGGGGCTGCGGCAGGATAGGAGGCTGCGAAAGGTTCAGGACTTGCCCTTTTTTTAATCAATTTATGAATGGGGATCAAGCGATTCAGAGTTAAGCAAGGACACGTGTTGACTCGAAGAGAAGCCTCTGCATGATTTTCAATCCTGGGATCTGTGGATCTTCAGTTTGCAGGATGCTTCAGGATTTTTTTTTTCTGAAGACTTCATGGAAGCATTTTCTCATGAGTAGCAATAGCACTTATATACCGCTCCACAGTGCTTTACAGCCCTCTCTAAGCTGTTTACAGAGTCAGCATATTGCCCCCAACAATCTGGATGGAAGAATGTGTGTGTGTGTCTGTCTGTCTGTCTGTCTCTATCTTTGGTACTGTAATAAAGCCAAAACACTGTTGAGAAAAGTTCTCCTTGCCCAGAAGCAGGGAGATTGTATCCATTGCCCTGAGAACTGCTAGCACCTTGGTAGGATGGCATCACGGTTTTGCAAAATGTATCACTCTGTGTCATATTTTAGAGCCAAATAGGTTACAAAAATGAAGGGACCTGGATCCAGCACTTGTGAGATGGTAAATGTTGGTATTATGTACTGCGGACATAAGTTATGCTGGATCTCCATATTCCAGTGATATTTTTTTTGTCTTAGGTTCATTATGTGGGCATATTTTAGGGCTGTTTACTCAATCACACATGTACTCTCTCTATGGATTACGGTATATACTTTGATTTGTAGATTGACAAAAAATGGAATTCACACAAGATTCATGTTAAATCTATTTTAGGAAGCTTTTTCATTTGATAACTGAATAGGTATGGCAGTTATAATTGAAATATCTTCTAAACATTAAGAACATACAATCTATTTTTAATTATTGTTGAGAAATATGTAAGTTTTTAATTCCTATTTTACTACCATCTATTCTTACAGATTGCTGACCCAGTGACTTGTGATGAAATTTTTGAAAGTTTAACCAAAATTCATACTAACTATTATAGAAATAAGGTGAGTTCTGCCACTGTGGCAAATATGAGTATGCAGTGACTCCTTTCTTTATAATTTTCTAATAGGCATACAGTTTAGATCTGTTCATTATCTTAGTTCAAGAAAAAGACAATCCCATTCTTCTAAAATTTTGTATAATCTTTGAAAATAAGTCTGAAACGTGTGCATTTATAGACCCGAATATGCACAAAGTCTGTTAATTACCATAACAATACTCTAGTACCTAGCAAATGTATTTCATTTCTTGCCATTTATTTCATTACCTTGTCAAAAGCACTTTTCTCTATCAGAGAAGGGGAGGTATATATTTACATATCTGTTTTTTTTTTCTTTTTGGAATAGTATCCACGTCTGAGAGATACAAACTTCTCTGGAGTGCCAGTGGAAGAATGCAAGTTGGTCCTTGCAACAGGTATTTAAACTGTAGTAACTGCTTGGAGTCTATTTACGGGGACAGCAACATTTATTGGCATAAATCTAGTGTCTTTTGTACACTAGGTTTATGTACAGTTTTTGTACATTTTTTTCTTTCTTCCTTTGGGCTCTTTTACACACAAGAATTTGCTGCCACGAACTTTCTGTCTTGTCAACAGCTTTGCTATGAATTCAAGTATATTCTAAAAACACTTGTAAATGACTGGTGCAGTGCCCCTCATTGAGATTTGTATCTTAGTGGCTGTAAATTGCATGTTGGTGTAAATTGTGTAATCCATTTTCAATCCAAAGGAGCTATGAACAATTTAAAAAGTAGATATGTCAATCTTCTTTTTTAATACAGGAATCATTCCACATAAGAACGTAATCTTCTAGACTACTTTAGGTTTAATGGAGCAAGCCGTTTCCCATAGCCCCAACTGCCATTTTCCTATTTCTTCCATTTAAAGTCACATGACTCTTGGAATTCAGGGGATATGATATAATATCATTCCATACCACTCTTTCAATATTTCACTGCTGTATTTGAGAAGTCTAAAGAAAGAAATGGATATACAGGTAGTCCTCAGCTTGCAACCACAATTGGGACCAGAATTTCCATTGATAAACAAAGGGGTTAAGTGAGTCATGCCTTGATTGCTAATCAAATCCCTGCAGTGATTGATTGACCCAGTTGTAAAGCAAATCCGGCTTCCCCTATTGACTTTGCTTGTCAGAAACTGGCTGGGAAGATCGCAAGATGGTACTCACATGACCCCAGGATGCTGCAACTGTCATAATACATGGCAGTTGCCAAGCACCTGAATTTTGATGAACGGTTATAATGCAAGGACTGATAGTAAATCACTTTTATCAGGGCCGTTATAACTTCAAATAGTCCTTAAAGTCAAAGACTACCTGCATGTGGTGCTGAGGATCAGCCAAAAACAATCATGTAATATAACATGTAATTGTAACAGGAAGTCCATATTCTTTGTGCACTTATTTTCTTCTTTGGATCAAAAATATGTGAGGAATAGATCTAAATGTAATAATGCCTCCTCTATATAGGGTACACTATATAGAAGTTAAGGCTAAAATATTATCATTTAATAATTTTCTATTATAATTATTTATTTTTTGTATACATTTATAAACACAATAGAATGTATTTAAAATGTCTTTGGAGTGGCATGGAGCTAAATTGCAGGTTTTTGTTCAATACATATAGAAAATGTTACTTTTTCCTGGATGTAGAATTGCTGTATTGAATAAAGAAAACATATTGCCTGAGGCAACAAAGCGGAAATGTAGATTGAAACTAATGCTTTGCATTTTAGGGTTTTGAAGGTGTAACTTAAAGCAGAATTATTGCTTGTGATAGTGAGTATCAGCATGGATTGCAAAGCCATGTGGATCAGGGAGGAAAAATCTCTTGTGACTTCCAGTTGCATACTGGAAGAAGTACATTAGTCACCTATATTTTGTAAAGCACTCTTAACAGTAGGCAGAAATATAAAACTTATTTTTTTATAAAGTATTCTGTCTTAATTTATTCAACTACCATTTTTCAGAACAACTGAAGCAAATGGAAGAAGGAAAGCTTGGAAAATTGAAACGGTTACGTGAAAAATTCTCTGTCAAGCATCACAAAGAAGATTCTAAATAATAACGCAGTCTTTAACTGGTTTTGTAAAGCACTTTTTGCCAGTACAGCTAAACCACCTTGTTACCAGCAAAGGACAATGGAAAGCTATTCTGAAATGGGACAAAGTAGCTCCATTTGACTACATTGGTTTATGAAGACCTAGGAAGTCCATCTGAAGAACAGGGAATTATATAGTTATATGCTGTGGGTGTTTACCTATCTGCACTAGTGAATGTCATCTTGCAACTGGTGCGTTGGAGCTTAACAGAACTGTAGTTCATGTCAAAAAAAAAATCTAACATTGGGATTCTGTGAAAGAGATGTGTGACTTCTTACTGTTAATTAGCTTGTATGTTGTTTACTGAAAGGCAGCACTTATTGGGCGGGGTGGAGAGAAGCTTACCATATATTGTGCAGAATTGAATATTGAGAGGACAAATTTCTATTCTGTGACTGCTGCTTGTGAAATCGATGAGATAGCAAAGTAGTTGCAAATACATAGGCAGCTCCCCAAATATTTTTTGCTGCAGTGTAGATAAAGTCCATTCTCAATGCCCAGGAAATAACAGCAAAGACCAGTGGGACATGTTAGCATCCTAAGAAAATAGCATGCTTGCTAAAATATGTATCACACATTCACAGATCTTGTGGTTCACAAGTCACAGTGGCCATGGTTCCATAGAACTAGGAAAAGAGGCTTCCATAGAGGGAAAGCATTTATAGCCTATACATCAGGGATCCTCAGGCCACAGGCCACTACCAAGTCTTGAGCCGTTCGGAACCAGGCTGTGGAAGGGGTAGCACACGCCTATCCCTACTTGCACGAGCAGTGGGAAAGTGTGTGCATGCGCTCCATTTGCCCAAGTGGCGGGCACCATGCCCATCGCTCGAGCAAATGGAGCTGTACGCATACATGTTTGCCTTCCACTCACACAGAACCACCACCACTCCCATCCACAAAGCCAGAAAGATTGGGGAACTCTGCATTGAGCAGAGGATTAGAATAAATGACTTCTAAAATAGACTTCTAAAACTTACAACTTTGGCCTTGGGTGACTAACATTTATTTAGAAAATTAATCAAGATTTGTCATTTTATGAAGTTACCAACGTTATCAAGAGGCTGCTGATTCACCTGCTTTCCATTTATTATACTGATTTTGTGTTTTAAATTTCAGAAGATTCACATAACAAACCAGAGGAAGATAAATTACAAAGCTGGGTTTATGATTAGTAAAATCTTTTTCTTACTAAATCTGCACAGCAGTCTGTATATTTGAAGAACACTGCTTTGGTCCAAATGTGAATGAAACAGACTCCTTGATTGTTTCTAGCCTCCCCCATAGACTAGTACTAATGGAACAACTGGGCACACTTAATATACACAACTGTTTTCTGTCTTTTGCTTACATTTGACAGCAGTTAGCAGAAGTAGATTTTACAAGGGGCTTTTTCTTATACAAATCATCTAAATTCATAGGAGCAAATTATTCTGTCAAGGAACTTCTAAGTTCATATTTCAGAACTTTTATACTTGTGGTCCTGCTCTTTTTTTTCCTGCCACTTTTTCTGCAGCTCCATTCCATATAGACTAATTATAACTGATATTTCTGACACCCATGACAGTTAAAACATTTCCCCACAAACTCGTGCGTGGAAGCAGGATGAATTCTAAAAGTATTTTATACTATTCTATTGAGTGAACAAGGCACAAACTGCACATTTGTACTGCAGCATGAACGTGCAATCTTTCATTAATGTCCAGTCTTGTCAATCGAAGAAAAAAAAAGCCATTTCATGAATTATATGATTGCTTGAACTATTAACTTAATAGAATATTTTCTTGCAATTTCTTCTTAGTTGAGATGTGATTCTAGACACAAAATGTTCATGTCTTCAAAAGGTTTAACATGAAACACTTGCAAAGAAATCCTTATATGGTGATTTTCCATATCTTTGAATAAGTTAAAAAGGTAGCAAGCTTCTACTCGCTGACAACTGTCAATTCTATTTGCACCGGGCTGTGTAGCCATCCAAATGTAGTGCATGGAGAAAAAAAAGAAGGAATAGTTTTAATACAGTTCAAAGGTATGGCAAACTCAATGCATATGAAGAAACAATTAGTCATGGCTTCGGTTTCTTGCTGAATTAAATGCCTTCAATCAATCCTGCTTGAGATAAAAGGAAGTGCTGAGGTTTTACGAACTGTCACAGCCTGGACCAATGTTCCTTGTCTATAAAAACTTTGCAAGGAACTTAGTACCAATACCTCTTCAAGAAGTGCATACATATCTATATACTACAGTTTATGTTTGAAGACTTGGATTCCACTGTCTCAGTGATTTATTGTATTCTGGACATCCACAAAACCCATTCGTTGTCTCCGCTTTCTTTGCTCGGTCATCTGAAATTTGCAGTAAAAAAAGGAACATTAAAACATGGTTCTTAAATTTTCTAATTAAGGTTTCACAACAGCTATAGTTCTTGAACTATAAATGACTTGAGATAGTTTGCAATAACATATCTGTTGCACCCGTCTCAACCTTTTCTCGGGTATTCCTCCACTTCATGCAAGTTATTGGTACAAATAAATACCCTCAAGAAACTTATATAATGCACTCCAGCTATACTTTGCACTGGAGGATAAACTATTCCAAATACAATTAATTTTTAAAAAAAATCAGTAGATGGTTTCCATCAAAGGGAAGCCTTATGCTGATTACAAACGAAATTGGGCATTTGGTGCAAGAAAATGGAAAGCATAATTTGAAACCTTAAAAAGGGTTGAGAATAATAGTACATTGTACTTGGACATAGCTGAGAATTTCTCAGAAAACTGCACATTCTACATTTTTCTGAAATCAGTATGTCATTTTTTTAGTGAGACCTTCAAAATACATAACTTGACACTTAATATCCTAGCCCTTTCTAAAATTTAGAAATATATAGTCCAGTAAAAAGAAGAAAATATTAGATGTTTTGATTACCTGCTCCTTCAACTCGTTCAGCTGTGAAGTAAGATGAGATACCAACTTCATGGTGCAATTTAGTTTATCCTGAAGACATCGGATCTCATTTTGTTCTCCTTCACCTTCATTACTGACCAGGGACATGGCTCGCATCCGAGGGAACCAATCCAAGTTCTTGCTCTGCAAAGATTATTTTAAAAAAACAGGAATTTAAACAGTTTAGAATTGTTAGAAACAAAACATACAGTAAGATAGTGAAAATAGAGTAAGATCTTCCTAGGCGGAAGTAAAATTTGCATGAGTTATATAACCTAAAATAAAATATCTCTTTAATATGCCTGAAGTGAAAATATTACGTAAGTGCCAGATGAGTCTTTCTGGATTGAAATTTCTATTAATTAATAACACCTTTGGAGCTACTGCCTCACTTGATGAATGGGTTGAAGGTACCTAGCAGAAATCCAAATGATAATTAGAAGATAAGTATCAGAGAACCTCCTTCTTTAAGGCAACCTAATCCCAAATCTTTGGAAATTTTGACAATCAAAATAAATATTTTGAAATGTGGAAATATACTGGCAACTAGTGTAAATATATATATACATAGAATAGTTCAAAGTTTCCAGGCTATTTCGTGTAATTGCAAGAACAGTTATCACGGTGTTCCCTCTTTCAGGAACAGTCATAGATCTATACGAGACATACCTGATTAGCAAGTACCGATAGAATATTTGTATCTTATGGTTGACTTGTAGGGTTCTTGATTAGCAAATGCTGTGAATCACCCAAATCACTGCTGCTTGTGGCAATGATGAGTCTAATATCACTGTCATATAAATTGGGTCTTCCAGAACAGCACAAACCGTTAAATATTTCAACATCTATATTTTCTGATTTGATTCATTTATAAATTGGTGGTGATGCAGCCTATATTCTGATTGCCAAAGTAATTAGTGAAAACATGAATATGTAAAATCCATGGGAGAAAACAGTGGTGGGATACAACCGGTACGCCCTGATACGGGCGTACCAGTGCCTGCTGGGAGCATCAGCTACTGTTCCAGTATGTTGCTCCGGAGGGCCCACCCGCCCTTCTTACTTGTATTTGAGCCAATCGGGGCTTCCGCGCACGCAGCGTATGGCACCTGTGCAACGTTCTGCTAAGCAGCTGGAGCATCATGGAGCGTCGCTGGGGGAAAGTACGCATGCCCGCGCTGTGCACGTGCTATGCGTGTGCATGTGGTAGACTCCCGGTCCCATTGCACTGTACCGTTGCAACGAGATCCAGAGCCCACCTCTGGGAGAGAACAATAGTCTGCCTGCAACTTTCCTAGTAAAAATGGAGCTGCAGCAATATGGTGGCTCAATATCACAAACCCACCAAGAATCCATAGTTCATAAGATTCTTCATCTTGGCAAAGGTCATGCTACGGGAAAGCTAGGCAAATCCCTGTTCCAAAACCAATCCTGAAATTGGATTGATATACCTCCACAAAGGCAACACTAGTATGGCTGACACCGCTACCATCCTTCTCATGTCAACCACAGAAGAGAACGTGAATGCCAGTAGAGAGCCGGAAATTAAAAGCAATCACTCCTCCTTCCTCACAAATAATTAGGTTCTTAGCTTTGACCTTTTAAATTTTTTAAAAGATAAATCCCCATCTATTAAAAAAAATTAGAAACCAAATATATTATGATATTCACACCACACTCCTATGAAGTGTGGTGTGAGTTTCATAATGGACAGCATCAATAGAACAGTGAGCAGAATTTCTTTTAAGAAAATCAGGCAGTCTTTTCAAAGAGAATAACAAACTTGATTATTACTTCATTTCTATGAAGTTAAACAATGCACACCTTGATCATTTGCGCCACATAGCTTTCAGGCCCTGTGTAGTCTGTCTTATTCTTCACTCTCACCAGCACTATGAAATACAGGTAATTCCACATATTGTGCTCAAATTTAATGTGCTCTTCAAAGGATACCGTTTTGTTGTCAAACTTGTCCCTTTCAAGTCCTGTAGAGAAAGTGAAAGCAAATGAAATATTACTTAGAAACTGTTATGATCCTCCATTTCTTGCTAAATCTGGTTCTCCAAGCATTTTTCTTCAGCGCATTTGTCCTCCACTTGTTGCCTATAGCAATCTGGATGCAGTAGATTGGACACTACCTAATGGATTGATGGCCCTGTTTGTAGCAGACACTTAAAACAGAGAGCCTTTGAGATATTTTCAGTCTAAGTTCAGTAATCTGGAAGAGAAAATGAATGAATTGTATTGGAGCAGAAAAATTGATATGAGGGTGTTCAGTTTGGACACTTAGATGAATTATTTGTTAAAACAAGACTTCTCAAAAATTCTGTATGTTGCAGAAACCAATCCATCATTTCTTTCTACTCATGCTAAACATCTTTCATGCCAACACTATCTCCCGAGCTCAGACAGCTGTGCCTGATTGACTGCTTCATATTGCTCTGAAATCTGGAAAGAGGAGGGAGGGCAACATTTTGGAGATATTTTCATTTCTCTTCATTTGGAGTGGGATTGATAAAATGTTCCATTCATTTGGGAGGTAAATTGAAGACATAAAAGACAAAAATGGTGCATTGAGACTTAGAACATTTTCATGTTTCAGGATGAGAGCTCTGTTAATCTATGTTAGCCAAAAATCCAAGGAGCCTTGGAAGAATCTTTCCAGACTAACATATTTATTAAAGGTAGTTTTCATGAACTCCACCTCACTACATCAGATGCATTGGCATAGATAGCTAATGAGGAATTTAAAATAGGATGAAGTCTCTTATTTTAGCAAAATCATACAGGACCATCAAAAATCAATGGTTTTGTTGCCATGTTTCACTGGTGCAATCCAGGGATGCCCTGGAACCGCAAAGTGGATACTAAACTACAAGCAAGTTAAACACAGGTACTGTTGTATAGAACTGATTTCATTGCTTCAGGCAGTTTACATTCTCACTCTTAAACTTAAAGCCTTGTGCTACCATGTTCTAGCACTATTCAAGGCAAACTGTAAACTGCAAAATTGTGTCCACATGTAAAGAAGTTATTCAGAAGGGGGCACACTTCCTCTAGATGATCTATGGATGTATCAGTCAATGAGCTTTGTAGTGAAATTACCCATACTTTTATTAAAGAAATGCTGCACTTTCTACCTAAAAGTATGCCATAAGTTAAAAATAAGTAGGTTTAATCCTTCATAATTTACTTTGTTGTTTTTAAACTTGGGTTCTATCAAGTAAATTCTAATATAAAACTCACACATATATTCTTAGCCAAGGAATTTGTCTTGAGTAGAATACCAAAAATAAACAGAGCTCCCAGTAATTCAATAAAGTCTAAGCTAAGCTCATCCAGTAAAATCTAAGCATTCTCCATTTCTATATAAATTAAGGGATGGGGCATAACAAATTGTTTTGTTGCTTCTATTATTACAAAATTGGGTCTATAAATCCTTTCCACTCCACTGCAAACAATTCAAAGATCTGCCATAGATCAAGATGTATATTCTATTAACTGTGTCAGAAGTATAATCATACATATTGATTTTTTTAATATACCAACATGGAACACTCTTTATTCACAGATTTCTATATTCTGCTATAAGAACAATCTCTTAAAACTCTCTTGATGCAAACTGGATAAACTCAAGAGTCCTTTAAATCCACCATAGAAATATCCTTCAGAAATACTGTTTCATAAAATTCATTTGGGAATAAGAGCTAATCCTGTTTATTATAAAACCAGTTTTCCCTCACTGATGGAGAAGAGTTTGGTATTTAAACAAGACCCTTGAAATATAAGCATTGATGAAATGTTTTATACCAAAAAGAGGAGGAAAAGTATTTTTTTTCTTGCAAATTCTTGGAAGATGTTTGTTGAGCATAAGAACTGCCATTCTCTAAGTGCTTACCACATATAAAACATGTTGTTTTCAGGATTTCCTCTTTTTTCTGTTTTTCACTCCTTAAATCTGCAAAGGTGTCAATGATGACACCAAATATGAGGTTAAGGACTATGATTATGACAATGAAGAAGAAGAGGAGGTCATAGATCACTCGAGCAGGGAACAGGGATTCCTTTAAGATAAAAAAAATCAGAATACTCATTATCAGCATGTATATCTTCCCTCTTCTAGTGTCATATCAAAAAATATTGCTCACTAGAAAATGTTTAAGAAAATATGGTTACTGGGAACGAGTGTATTATCAAAACTCTAATTGATATGAAACAGAAATAGAAAACTCTAATTGATATGAAATAGAATAGATATGAATGGTTACTGGGAACGAGTGTATTATCAAAACTCTAATTGATATGAAACAGAAATAGAAAACTCTAATTGATATGAAATAGAATAGATATGAATGGTTACTGGGAACGAGTGTATTATCAAAACTCTAATTGATATGAAACAGAAATAGAAAACTCTAATTGATATGAAATAGAATAGATATGAATGGTTACTGGGAACGAGTGTATTATCAAAACTCTAATTGATATGAAACAGAAATAGAAAACTCTAATTGATATGAAATAGAATAGATATGAATGGTTACTGGGAACGAGTGTATTATCAAAACTCTAATTGATATGAAACAGAAATAGAAAACTCTAATTGATATGAAATAGAATAGATATGAATGGTTACTGGGAACGAGTGTATTATCAAAACTCTAATTGATATGAAACAGAAATAG